CAACGCCGAAAATGAGCTTCAACAGTAACGAATTTCGTGCAAAAAAAATGGCAAAAGCAAACACCAACAGCGACGTCCTGGCTCAACTCCAACGTCTTCACGCAGCTGAGTCAAAACGACTGCGCAAAGAGTGATGCGCCTACACGTTTAATGTCATGTATTCGAGTCTATCAAAAATAAGGAAGGGGATCTGCTCCCTCATCCGCCGTGCTCGCCAACCAAAGCCGACGATGAATTAAGTAGTGGGCGATGTCAAAACTCGGATCGCATCCAATGACCATGACTTCATTGTTCGTGGAGTGTTTGACAAGCAAATGAGAGGTGGTCATTGACATTGATCATTGGAGCTGGTAGTGATTGTGCGAATAATTAACGAAAGTCAGATATTGTTAATATTCTAAAATTTGTTGAAAAAAAGCCGCAATAACTATGCACCAATCTAATAGTTAAAAAGCTCTTTCTTTATTTTACGAAATCTGTCCATGGCATTTACAATAATGATTTTGTTTCCACTTTCGCTGAGGATGTTAACTAGTAATAAAGAGCATTTTCGACTAGGTTTTTCCATAAAGCATCGCGATTTTCCAAAACTTTTTATAAAGTATTTATACTTGATTGGCGATAATTTGGTCAGTGCGGTATTCGCTGCTTAGAATCTTTCTAATTCAAAAATTTTCGATGCTATTACATCAGAACCACAACGCCTCCACTTAAGGAAACAATCCAGTCAATTCAGACCTCACACCTTGTTAGGGAAGAGTACGCACCGATGGTTAGACTAAGATCAAAACTTTGGTTAGGTCGAAAAATGTGGTAATTCTTCAAAGAAAGGTTTAGAAAATTCGGGCTGAAGTCCTCACGATTTCCATCAACCTTGGTGAATTGTATACATCAAACTTGGACGCTCTACCAATGTGTGGAGTATCGTAAAGACCAGCAGTCAAAAATAGTGAACCGTTTTTTAACAATATTATACAGCAGATTCCTTCTCTGTGAACGATATAAACACTAAGCCGTTCGCAATTTTTCTAACGACGTTTGAAAAAAAAAACGCTAGCAGGCGGAAAATGTTTGCTGACATTCTACCGAATATACGATGGCGTTTCGCGAAGAAAGTAAAGGGATGTTAAACTGTGTATAGCATTTGCAAAATAACATGAGATGTTCACAAAAAGAAAAAGAAAGTTGTGAAAAAATGCCTAACAACCTAATACTTTGTTTTTTATTTGTGCTTCCTCTGATCAAGCTAAATCTTAGGGCATACATTTGCTTTGATCGACATTTTTTCCTCAAAGTTATATCTTATTTGCTTGGTTTTAAGGCTATTACTGTAAAGATACTGAAAGAAGCATCTGCATACAG